CCATGGAATACTGACATTTTAGATTATTTTTAAAGATGTACTATATTTTTAAAGAATACAGATACTAATATTGTCGATATAATTCGATATATTTCATTAATAAATAAAAAAAAAACTGTTTAAATATTTGTTAAAGAGAACCAATTTATATGATTCCAGTATTCAAACTACATTAACTGACTGTTTGCGTTGATTAATAATAATTGCCACAAATACTAAAAAGCTGAGTTTTGTATGTGTATTAGACAGTGTGGTAAAAAGTAACACCTTAAAAATTATATTTCATTTTTTGATAAATGCTTATTTATAACAACAGATACGTTCATTTTCATAACTTATTATTATATTGATTTCTGATTCAAATCCACATTTATTTAGAATAATTTATTAACGAACACAATTAAGTATGTAGTTAATTAGTATTTGGGCGGAAATACTGGTGGTATATTTAATTAATGGTATACTCTTTTATAAAGATTTAAATAGTTTTCTTTTTGTGACATAAATGGGTTAGTAATATTATCGTTTTACTAAAAACGATAGTATTACTAGCCTGTACATTTTGTACATTTATTGTTTTAAAAACAATCTAAAATGTCAATATTCCATGGATATATTGATAAATGAGGTCTAAATTATAAGAAAATGCATTTTCTACGAAAACTTGAAGGAATAGGTAAGAAGTGGTATAATACAGTTTGATAGACAATTAAATTGTGCATCTGATTCTCATAAAATATAGAGGGTGTTCTATTTAAATTAAATAAGTTATTGCCGTTTAAAGCTAGTAATTATTTAAAATAAATTTTTAGATACTCTGTATAAGGTAGTATAATTTTTATTATTGCAACACAATAACTGACCAATAAATAAACTTCAGTAAATATTTAGTATTAAAAACTTTGATATCCTCGGAGAAATGAAGCCTTAAAATTTATACTGCAATTTCGCAAAATTGAAAATATTTCTAAAACGGTAAGGTTTAAGTCTAATAAACCTTAATCAAATTTACCTTTATTTTAATCGTAGAAACTAAAAATGCAATAATATACAGGGTGTTCCATTTAAAAAAATACAACTTTGATATTTTTTATTTATTTGGGACACTCTGTATCTTGTAAAAATATTTTTAGATTGTAGCTCTAATAGTCCTTCAACGAACCCAAACCTTACAATTTGTAAAAATCTAATCGTTTAGCTACAATACTCCGTGTCGTATGTGGTGAACAACCCTGTATAAAACATTAAAATACATCAAAATTTTAAGATGCCCGTTTTTCGTACCGGAGAGCGTATATTGAATAAACTGGTGCAAAATACTACTTGATACTGCATGTTTAATTGATCATGTAAAGATGTAAACAAAGATGTAACATTAGTTTTTAATGTAGTAAGTACTTACAGTGCAACACTTTTTGAGTCACTGTATATTTTATACCTTTCTCATGTCAATAGTGTTAGTTATTAGAAAGTATGAGGTCTATTTTGGAAGTAGATATTGGCTTTAAAAACGCTTTACTAAGTAGAAGGCTACATTTACTTTACTTATATTATTTTTCCGTGAAATATCTCAATATAAACTTGAAACGGTGATTTCCTATATTTATTTGTAGCATATTTATGGAATACCTATCAATTTTCCAGCGTAAAAAAAAGTCACAGTATCTGTTCTCTAAAAGTAGTAAAACTGTGATTTCGGACTAGCTTTTTCTTTATTAAATTTTGTAATAAAAATAGTTTTGTAATTTTGTTTTTTTTTTTCGTACAATTTCATAAAGATTCTCGAATTTGGAGTGTAGGACTGTGTTTGAGAATATTAAATTTATATTAAAGCAACATTTTTTTGTTAAAAAAATTATATGATTTTTGGAAATGTTTGTTATCACCACTTGCCTTAAAGAAGAGTATATTTTTAATCGGTCCAATGCCAGAGGCAGTATCTCATTAACCTTCAATATCCTAATTATTGTTCCAGGTACACTCAAAAATTTTAATATAGTAAAATAACTGTTCAAAAAAATAATGTTTTCTAGATAAAAAAAATAGATAAATTAAGGTAAGAATAATTAATTCGCTAAACGTATTTAATATATTTACGTTTTCTACGAAGCCGGTTTATAAAAAAATTATAGATATTATATACAGGGTTTTTCAAAAAACATGTGTCATTCCTCACGTAAAAATAAGAGTTCTCTTTTATTAACATAGGTCCGATTCTGCTTTTTTTCGTAGCTGCGGGAGGTTAAATTACAGTTACTTCAAGGAACAGCTTTTAATCGGCATTAAATGGCCTGCACAACTGTGCTAACAAGAGAAAAATTCAGTAGCGCCACATGTTTTTTTTAGACAGATGTTTTAGGGATAACCCATATCCACGTCCCTGGTGAATAAAGATCGATACTTTTTTGGCTTTTAGCATTGAAATAAATAGCACTTATAGTAACTTTTATCCTCAAAATTTAATTCCAATTACTAACAGGATATGGAAGAAAATTATAATATTCGAATAAATCGAAATCGAATAATATAATAAATCGAAAAAAAAATAAGACATGTATACTAAAGAATAAAGCAAAGAATATACCTAGCTAGAAAAAGAATGGACTCTGCCATACTGAAAAATGGTCCTACAGAAGTGGCGCCATCTATTGAGTAGGGCTTGTTTTAAATGGATCGAAGCGCGGGCTTTTTAAATGAGCGTATTTATTGAATTTTGCTCTAAAATAATTAAATTTGATCATTAAATCTTATTTTTTACACAAATTCAACAATACTAATAACAAGTATCGTTGTGATGTGTAAAAAATAGGATTTAACAGTATAATTTATACAATTATTAAATAAAATTAAAGCCAAACATGTGTAAATATTATTTATTATTTAAAGTTTTTATTTATAAGTAAAATATTTAAACATCGTTTATTATAATAAAACAAAACCAACGTAATACGCCCAAAGTTTTGTAAATGGAGTAAATATAAATAGGTACTTAAATGATGACAAAAATAAAAGACTTACATTATATTTTTAGGGCCACAAACAAAAGGAATGTCTAATAAAAGTTCATATAACAAATTATAGTTTGAAAACGTTTTGATAACCATTTTTGATGATTGGCGATAGTGTCACTGTTAATTTAAGTTCTGCCACAATTTCCATCTAGATTTACTACCTTTATACAACTATCAGTGGTAGAATAAATAATAAATAACATAAAATAAGCTCTGTAAAGACTGACAAATCCACAAAATTTCAAATCAAATTCAAATGTGTCAAATGAATCGTCAAACAGAACTGTCAAGGATCCCCACCCTAGAAAGCTTTTATGGTGCTTTTTCCGCCCACCATGCATAAATACATGGATAGCATTATGCTCCTTCCTTAGTCTTCTTATTCAAAGTGATGTATACCCCTTTAGCTACGAAACAAAATAGAATCGGACCTATGTTGATATGAAAAATAAATCCTATTTATACATTTGTATCTAAACTGAATCTTAAAAAAAAATCTCAATGAACCATAGTTGCGTTAAAAACCTTGTATTCTATGAAAATCTGAATAACCAGTATATTCGTTCGCTAGTAAAGTATTTAAGTGTCGTATGTGTTGTGTCAGTGTGCTTCTAGCCGTTACTTCATTTATCAACCGCTCATTTAAAACTCTTTATAAATAAAGTTACTAACATAAAAGAATTCTTAAAAACTATCGACCTAAATCAGAAACTAAAAAGAAATCAAATGAACCAGTACATGGCTTTTCCAAGTTTGTGTACGCTATACATAACTAACAATTTTTCTGTAGCCGCTTACTTTCGAGTAATCATTTCATAAATCTATTTAGGGCTGTTAAAAAATAAATTATTATTTGTGATAATTTAATGAGAATTTTCTATAAATAAAACTAGTTTAGTAAATCAAAAATATGTTTATGAATTGTATAAGTAAATTTATACTGTATTAATTTTAAAACAATAACATAAATATTACGACCATACACTAATACATATAATATTGATTAAAATTATCTGATAAACTATCTATAAAATTAGTGAATGGTCTTTAAATAAATCCACATTTAATTAATTTAAAAAATTTAAAATGTTTCTGTATGTATGCTATACACAAAGTGGTCCGAATTGTATTCGGGAAACTGCAAATAAAAATAAGTTAAAATGTTCATATAAAATCGTGTCCTAAAATGATTCGTTTCGGAGATACAGGGTGTAGAAGTTTTATTTTTATTTCGGTTTTTTTCCAAATAATTTCTCAACTATTGCCGATATTTGGATAAAAATTGCTGTCTGGATTTAGAATTCTCATGACAAAAAGACACCAATTTTCATCCAAATATCAAGATTAATTCAGAAATGATTTTGAAAAAATTGGAATAAAAATGAAACTTCTACGCCCTGTGTCTCCGAAACGAAGCATTTTACGACATACATTTATAAAAACTTTTTTGCATATTCTTATCTGCCGATGTTTTCCGAATACAATTCAGACCACCCTGTATAACAAGAAGTGAAGTTTTATGTAACAGAATTCCATAGAAACATTTATTTTAAGAAAGTAAGTATATCTTATTAAATATACAAGACGATGAAATGAAATCATATTTATTTCCCTTATATTGGAGTAGAAGTTTCTTAAAATAAGTATTTCTATTATCTATAGAGTCTGGCTACAGAAAACTAAACTATCCTGTACAAGACTTCGAAGTATATAATTTTGTTCGATTATATGAATATAGCTTGTCCAAGCACGTGAGGGATTGCTGCTATTTTGTTGTTAAATACTTTACAACTCTTTTTTATGTTAATATTATACATATATTGATTAATTAAATCTGTACATATAATTGTAAAAATTGTACATAGGCTAGCTTTATATGTGTTTTAATGTGTTTAATACCCTAGACTGTTAGAATATTCAATCAAATTTTCTCTATTAATCCCGTGGGAAGCCGTTGGTAAAATTTAATCAATTTCTGTTAATTTATAGGTGGATCTGAGGCATATGGACGAGAAAGCGGGAAGTAATGTGGTTGACGTCGGAGTGGATTTGTCCGAATTTTATATGTCCGTAGAGTGGGACATATTAGAAGTTCCGGCAGTGAGGTAAGTTGCGACATAATTTTATTATAACGGATTTTATAACTTATAGTCAAACCACGGCATATAAAGGACACGGCAGGCTAACTCTGCCCAGATCCCATTGTTTTAAATTTCTATAAAATTTGACCTTGAAAACGCCATTATGGGTGCCGAGTCAGGGCCGGATTAAAACGTATCAAAAAAATTCCCAGAAAATAAACTATTGATAGACAGGGTCGTATTAAAAAAAAATACTGTAATTGACTGAAACTGAATTTTATTTACACAATACTTTTATCTAAATAAATGAATCGTTAACCGCGCATACTCCTCGAAAAGTAACAATGAAAAAATCAATTAAACATTTAACTGTAGAGAATAGACAATTAAAATTAAAAAACACGCCAGGAGTTACAAACAAGAATTAAAGAAATACCCAATAAAATATCTATTGAACAATCTAAAGAGGCTACGTACAAATTATGTCCATCAATAGACATAGCAAATTTTGTTAATATTCACCATAATGTAATAATAATATCATCAAGTGCAATTTATTTTATAATAGTGGTCGTGATAATATTGTAGGTTTTGAGGACCAGAAGGGGAACAGAGAGTTTAAACCAGCTCGGGTGTCTAATGTTGTTATGGTAAGAGGTATCTCTACCAATGGAAAGCAGTCCCTAGCTTATTTTACAAGCTTTTATTTAACTTGCTTTGTATGTATGTTTGTTCGGGGCAAATATTTAGAAGCACTTCCTTTCATTGGAAATTGAAATTTGGCATGTAGGTTCAGTCCCGATGACAATACATTTTCTTGCAAAGCATGATCCGAATTATTGACAGCTGTCAAAAAAATTTCAAAGTTGTCCGATTTTGATAAAAATCTATATATAGGATGGCCATGGGTTAAAATGAAAGAAAAAAAATTGAGCTGTCAAATTTGACAACTGTCAAAAACATTTCAAAGTTGTCAATCTCAAAGTTGATATATTGGATGCTCCCTACCCCATAGTCGGTTTTCATTTTATTTGTCTCACATTTGAACTGTCAAATTTGACAGCTGTTGTTTTTTTAAGTTCTCCTTTTTTAATGAAAATCGATATACATATTATTGGGATGCCTATAGGAAGTTATTTAAAAAAAAGAATTGAGTTTAAGTGTGTGGCACTAAGAAACCAGCATAACTAAAAAGTAAAAAATAAATTTAAGAAAAAAAACTCTTTTTAAAAACAAGGTTTTATTTAAATACATTAAAAAGAAAAAAAATAAACTTTTATTATGGACTTGTCGCGAGATTTGAGTGTACAGTTGCACTCATAAAAATCTGGTACGACAACTTTATCGTGTAATTCCTGTAATTCTTTTAATTCCAATATCTTGTAAACCTATCATTATTCCCATCCAGGATAAATTCATCCAGTTTAGAAGAACATTTAAAAAACTTTGTGTTCGAATATTACACACGGGTACTGAAAATTGCCAAAATGATCTGGCAAACATCTTATTAAAAACGGCAGACCTTATTGTTTACGTCGGAATCCGTAACATTATTATAAAAAACAACGAGACCTCTGTTCTTTTCTCTCTGAATTGTCATGAGCTTTCCATAAAAATTAAAAATAGATACGGATAATCAGAATAACAGCAATTTAGAAATGAATCTTGTTTGTCATTTTGGCAGGATACCTAATAATAAAAATTACTTTGAATGCCGTAGACAATTACTGAGTATTAAAACTAAAAGAATTTCGGACTTCCATTGTACTACTAAACTACAAAAACCAAATATATCACACACAATAAACAAACATAAAAAAACAAAATATATCACTCAAGAAAAGAATGAAATAAATTAAACCGCACGCTACTGACTCAAAGCTGCCGTAACTGTATGTTCTCGATGACAAAGACTACGACACTGGTTAATTTCTGTTGCTGGCACCCATAATGGCGTCGTGCGCTAGGATATGCGCGTAGCGTTCCCGCCAAAGCGAGTTGGCCTGCCGTGTGATTTATATGCCGTGGTCAAACTGTATAAAATGTATTCTACCGCTTTCAACTTTATTTCTTTAAATCTGGATAAGGGTTTTTATACAGGGTGTCCCAGAAATAAGTGCTAGTATTTTAAGGGGTGGTACATCTGGCCAAGATCATATACTGATCTCAAAAAGATGGAGGAGCTCATTACTGGATGTCAGAAGCAGACGCGAGGCAGACATTGCAAGCGATCATTTTCTAGTGGTGGGTCAACTGAGAATTAAACTTTTAAAAAAGATAGATAAAAATTTTGCAAAAAGACCGAAATATAACATCGAACAGCTTAGAAAACCTAACGAACTCCAGAAATTTAAGAACAAGCTCAAACAACAAAGGGAGAATACTAACGTAGCTTCGTGGAACGACGCAGCAGACTTGTTTAAAACCGTTGCTGAAGTGACATTAGGCACAAAACGCATAAAAAACAAAGAATGGCTTAGCGACGATACTTGGAACTTAATAGAACAAAGAGCTCAGATAAAACAAAGAATAAATACAACTTCAACTCACGAGACCAAAACTACTTTACAACAACAATATCAAGTATCGAATAGAGCAGTTAAGAGATCAGCCAGAAAGGACAAACGAGCTTGGCATGAACAACTAGCAAACGAGGCACAAAAAGCCGCAGAACAACGCAATATGAGGGAACTGTACAAAATAACAAAACGCCTGAGTGGACAACGTAGTAACTTCAATACAGTTATTAAAAGCAAAGACGGCAGACCACTACTTCTTCAATCCTCTGAAGAACAGCTTGACAGATGGAAAGAACACTTCAGCAACCTGCTTGGACCAATAAGTGAACAAAATTTCGACAACGAGGAACCGAAGCCAACAATCGAAATGCCTATCAACTGCGACACGCCAACGAAAACAGAAATACAAAAGGCTATTAAAACACTTAATAACAATAAAGCAGCCGGCCCCGATAGCGTCCCTACAGACCTCCTCAAAGCAGATCCTAGCACAGCAGCAGACATACTGAGTCCTCTAATTACACGAGCTTGGGTATCTAACATCATCCCAGATGAATGGAAACAGGGTCTCATTATTCAACTCCCTAAAAAAGGAGATACCACTAACTGTGACAACTGGAGAGGTATTGTTTTGTTAAACACCATTCACAAGATAATATCCTCTATAGTTCATTTAAGGTTAAACTCCTATATAGAGCCTACTCTGAGAGAGAGAACCAAGCTGGTTTCCGACCGAACCACTCGTGCATTGACCATATTAACACATTGCGCATTATCATAGAGCAGTCAATAGAATTTAGGTCACCTTTATTCTTATTATTCATAGATTTCGTCAAAGCTTTTGACAGTATCCCCCATGCGATGGTATGGAAAACTGTAAAAGAAAAAGGTGTTCCGGAAAAACTAATTTATATAATCAAGGAACTCTACAGAAATACAGAATGCAATGTGCTGCACAACGGTAGAACCAGCGACAGTTTTATCTTAGGGACAGGAGTAAAGCAGGGTTGCACATTATCGCCGCTTTTATTTAATATCGTGCTCGACAGCGTTTTGACTAAAGCCACAGCAAACATTAGGGGAGTAGAATGGACTCTGACATCGCATCTGACGGATCTTGATTATGCTGATGATATCTGTCTCACAACGCAATCCTTCAAAGACATGGAAATGATGCTCCGACGTCTAAAAACAGAAGCAGACAAAGTAGGATTAAGCATAAACATCGACAAAACAAAGTCAATGCGCATTAATACAAACAACAACACTCCATTCAATGTAGGAATCAAACATGTCGAGAATGTAACAGAGTTTACTTACCTGGGAAGTATTGTAACAGCAAACGGTGGCGCAGACGCGGATATTGTCAGCAGGATCAGGAAGGCACAGCGAGCCTTTGGTCAACTAAAATCAGTTTGGACCTCCCGTCAACTCTCCATACAAACAAAATTAAGAATATTCAATTCCAACGTCATACCAGTTTTATTATATGGCTGCGAGATATGGAGAGTGACAAAAATATCCATCAACCGTCCACAGGTGTTTATCAATCGCTGCTTGCGGAAAATACTTAAAATCTTTTGGCCAGACACCATACGTAACACCGACCTGCTTCATCTTACAAACCAACAAGAAGTAGGCATTGAAATCCTCAAAAGAAAATGGGGTTGGATAGGTCACACTTTGCGGAAACCTGATAGTAATATAGCGAGATCAGCGTTGGAGTGGAATCCCCAAGAAAAAAGAAAGCAAGGACGACCTGCTCAAACATGGAGACGTTCCATACTGGATGAGCTTCAACAAGTAGGGTCAACATGGAAGGATATAAAAACAACTGCCAAAAACAGATATATATGGAGAGTTTTCACACATCTTTATCGTTATATAAGAACTTGATCATCTGGCGATATATAGGGTATAGAGACAGGCATCTGAGGGAGATTAATGCCCATTCCATTACATTTTCTCTTCCATTGTCTCAAGGCCTTTGCTACATATATTTTAAATAATGTGGGAGAAACACAGCATCCTTGTCGTAGACTTTTATTGACAAAGAATCTTCCAGATAATGTGTTGCCTATTTTAATTTGTGATGTCGATTCGTCGTACAAGTTTTTCAGAGCTCTAATTAAGGTGTAGTTAATGTTGGTGTCCTGTAGTACCTTGAATAGTTTGTTAACTGGAACGGTATCATATGCTTTGTGAAGGTCAATAAACATGAGGTGTGTCTCCTGATAAATACTACTTTTTTCTCTATTAGTTGTTTCAGACAGAAAATATTATCGGTACAGGTTCTCCCAGTCCGAAAACCAGATTGTTCCTCCTCTTCTTGTTGTTGGTATTCCTGTTCTATTAAATCTCTAAGGATTCGTCCGTATAATCGACTTAGGGTACTTGTTACTGATGTACCTCTATAGTTGGAGCACACTTGTTTATTTCCCTTTTTGTGGATTGAGGATATATAGGCGATTTTCCACTCTTTTGGTATTGGGGCGCCGTTCAAGAATCTATTTATACACCAGGTTAAGGCTTTAAATAGTTTTTCTGTTCCACATTTTACCAATTCACCTGGAATATTCTCCGGTCCCGGGGTTCTGTTATTTTTCAGTGCTGCCACTGGCTTTTTCGTTTGCGGTATGTCGATGTTAATAACTTCTCCGGAAATATTTATCTCTGTAAGTGATATTGTGGCGTATTCCTGCCGTTAAAAGTTCTTCGTAGTATTCCTTCCATTTATTCATTGGTATTAATTGTAGCTTGGCCGTCTATTTTTCTGAGGTTTTGACTTGGTTTATGAACTTCCATGACTCGGCACACTTCCTTCCTCCCAAATAGGCATTTATTTCTTGACATTTCTTATCCCATATTTCTCGTTTTGCAGTTCTTATTTTTTGTCTTGTTGTTCTTTTAACTTCTAGATATGCGACTCTATCTTGTTGTTGTTTACTACTTAGCCATTTTTTGTACGCGTTTTTTTTTCCTTAATTAAGCAATCTATTTCTTCATTCCACCATACGTTGTTACTTTGAACCTGAGCTCTTGATCCAAGAGCTTCTTCCGCTGCACTGTGAAGACTGCTTAGAATATTTGCGTATACTTCTTCAACGCTATTGTTCTGAGTTATACTTATTAGTTTTTCATCCAATCTTTTATGGTAAAGTTGCCTGGTACTCTCGGTTGTTAGGCTATCCAGATTATATCGCTTAGATTCAATACGTTGGTATGCTCATAATTTCGATTGGTTTCCTCCCTTTTGTCGCGTCTGAATGGGAATATAATTTTAGCTTTGACTAAGTAATGATCTGATCCACATGTAATGCCTCTATATGGTCGTACATCATTTATCTGAAGTGTCGTTTGTTGTCTTACTATGACGTAGTCTATTATTGATTTTAGATTCCTGGATGGTTGTGTCCAATAGTCGAATAGTAATCTACACTCATTAAAAAACTACAGCGAATGAAATTAATTTAAGTATTTTTCTTGCAGAAATTTAAAAATGTGAACTTATAAACACACAGAATATGCATAACGTAGGAGATTGCTACATTGGATTCTCTCGAAGCACTCGAAAGTTTTTCAATATTTTCCGGAAAGTGTCATGAAAAATATAAAATCAGCCATGTTGTTTTTCGCAAAAAAACTTCATGAGCGTGTTTCTGGGATCGAACTATACTACCAGTTAAAATACTTGCACTTATTTCTGGGACGCCCTGTATATTTTTTATGAATACCCTATCATTTTATTTACTTCATTTACAGAAATGAAAAATTTTATACCTGTTGCGACGAGCCTTATTTGGATATAACATTCAACATTACGATGAGGAGGAAAACGTTGTTTTATACGGTCAATATTATCATACCGTGCATGGGCATATCATTTCTGACAGTCCTTACCTTCTACTTGCCATCAGATAGCGGCGAAAAGGTATAATGATATTTTAATTATAAAACAAATATTATGCATCTCTATAAATCTCAATAAAATTTTGTTATTCCTCAAATTCCTTCAAGGAAATATCCAGAGCTTAAACTTTCTGAGAGCAAAAACCTTATTCAGAAAAGTTAATAAAGGTCTTTGGGGGGTAGCGTATCCCTATACATAATGGTACTTAAATTGTCAACACTGGAAAATAAGAAATTAGGACCTAAACAAAAATTTTTATATCTTAGAGTCGATACCAAAATTATGGGAAATCAGAACTAACAAGTTTGATTGGCAATAACATCGGAGGCAATCTCTTGGCATTTTTAAACTATTGATCATCTGATGAACTGAATACTTTATTGCAAAATTAAATAAATAGGTTCTGTTTTTTAAACTTAACAGTGATCAATATACAGTAAATATCATATTACTAATATTATTTATTAGTCCTGAAATTTTTTATGTTTGGATTTTTGATTTTTTGCTAGTTTTAAGACCGAAATACACCTCTGTACGATGCGAATAATTTTTTGTTGACTACCCAAAGAGAAAAGCAAACGACAAGGCATTTTACAAAAAAATAACTTTTATATATCGGTTGTTTCTACTACAATTAGTAGTATTAATATTGTATTCCTTTTGTTCTAGGTGACACTCTCTATTTCAATATTGATTAGTCTCCATGTGTTCTTCCTTCTTGTAGTAGAGATCATTCCACCAACCTCGTTGGTCGTCCCACTTTTAGGAAAATATTTAATATTTGCAATGATATTAGTCTCCATAAGGTACGATAATTAAAAACGTGTAAAGAGGTACATGTATATTTTTTATATTAATTTATATATCGAGTTAACAATGAAATCTGGGGAAAGTATACAATTTATACCTCGATTTATACATTGTTTACAATTTTAAAATTTATTTTTAAAATAATTGTAAACAATGTATACAGGGTGGGCCCACTGAAAACTTACAATGGCTATAATTCTTAAACCAAAAAAGATATCAAAAAAAATAAAAAATATCGTTCCTATAATATCGAGGGGGAATACATATGACGTATTTTTTGAACCACCCCGACCTACCCCTTAGGCGGCACCCCTACTCACTTGAAAATCTTAAATGGCAACACCCCACTTATGGCGCCTTTTTGGAAAGCCCCTGAAAAATGCTAAACGATTATCATAAAGTTTTTAGGGTGAAATTGAAAAACTACCCCTACACGAAAAATTAGGTGGACATTAATGAAAAAAGTGATTTTTTCAGCATAAGTTACAAATTTGGGCCCAGCTTAATGAGGCAAATGACGTATTTTTTAAACCACCTCGACCCACCCCTAGGTGCCACCCACTCACTTCTAATCTCAAGATAGCGATACCCCACTTGTGACACTTCTTTGGAAAGCTAATTGAAATTGCTAAACGATGGTCATACAGATTTCAACTTCTGTCTTCTTTCAACAATTACTGGTAAGTAGTGATAAGAAATGTAGGTTTGACAATTTGAAAGAAATTTAAAATGATAATTTATTTTAACAATTGCTCAAAATGACCAACCACCCCCTTGTGACAATAGAATAATGCGGAGGGGCTCCATCTTGCTGAAAGTGCATGAGGTCTTCATTAAGAGTTAAATTTCCTTCCAAATCTCTTTGATTTTCAACCTCATTTACAATGGCTGGCTCTATCAAATTGTTCAGCATTTCCACATAAGCATCACCAGTCAAATTTTCGTCGATGAAAAATGGACCTATAATTTTATCGTCTAGTATTCCGCACCAAACATTGAGCTTTTGGGGATGTTGGGTGTGTCCTTCAACAACAATATGCAGATTCTCATCGCTCCAGTATCTGAATTATTCACAATTCATCACTAAAACAAATATTTTTAGTAAGTGAAGGTTCCCTTCGAATTTCCTCCGTCATTAGTTCACAGAACAGAATCCTTCTATCTGGATCGTCGTCGCCAAGTTCCTGCAGAATCTTCATTTTGTAGGGATGGAATTTGTGCATTTTCAATACTCTCCTGACAGATGTTCGAGGTATACCTGTGATTGATGCCAACTGGCGTGTTGATGCTTCTGGATTGACCGATACCTGACCAATAACTTCCATCTACATTTCTTCATTCAGTTCCCTGGGCCCTGTCCTTTTTTTTTATTTTTAACCGACCCAGTTTCTTGAAACTTTAAAATCAAATCTCTAATGTAAACGTGACTTACGTTTTTGTCCGGATTTCTCTCATTGAAAACACGGGCCGTTCTCAAATAACACATACCTTCAGCACCATCAAGAAAAACTATTTCAATTCTTTCTTCCACAGTATAAACCATTTTTCTTTCAAATAAGCGAATCAAATAAACGTTTAAAATACCACCAAATTTGCAAACGACTGAAAATCGATAGAAGACAGTGCAAAAACGCAAAGATATGCCATGCCGTTTTAAGGTTCCTGTTTGTTGAAAGTAAAAAAATAGATGATAAGGAAGAATTTGCGTTATCGCAAAATTAGGCTGTAAAAACATCTTTGTGTTGCCTTTTTTATTATACATATATAAACGGGATTTGGTATAAGTATTTGATACTTTTTTCCAACTACAGCCTATTGCTGCCTTCCCGTTACCCTACGCCACACGTCTCGACTTACGCGTGCCGGCCATCGACGCTGTCCAAGCGCTACGAGCTGGCTCCATTGCTTTGCCTAACGTTCCATGCCTCTCTCAGCCGACAATTCCTATCTGATAGGGGGTCTGCCTCTACTTATCTACCTGCGGGAATCACATTGAGAAAACTTTTCTTGGTCACCTGTTCTCCGGCATACGAAGAACATGTCCAAACCACTTTAAGCTGAATTTTTCAATTCGATCTAGCACTGTCTCCTTCGATGCATTCATGATACGCCCGACCTCGATGTTTGTCTTTTCTTCCATCCTAGATATACCTAACTTCTTCTAAGGTAGTCCATTTCAACAACTTGGCTTTTGCGCTTCGTATCTGCACTCAAAGTCCATAGTTCTGAACCATAGCAAAGAACTGACTCACCAATGTTCTTCCAAGTACTTCTTTTTAGTTTTGCAGACAAGTTTCGTTCCAACCAGAGGCTATTAAAACATCCAATAACTTGCTTGTTCCTCTTAATTTGGGTTTGTATTTTCTTCTTTGCCCAAACCCTCGTTGTTGATAATAGCACCCAGGTATTTTTAAAATTTGTCTATGGTGTTGGAATCTGGACGTTATTCATCTATGAATGACATTCAAAACAAGCGGTTTGGAATTTGACAGCTAAGTATTCTGTCTTTCTTAGACTAACCTGAAGTCCCCATTTGTTATATTCTTGGCAAAGCCTCTTAGTCATGAACTCCAGATCGCAATCACGACCTGATCGTCTGCAAAGCTCAGGTAAAAGTGTGTATCTTACCCCCAATGGGTATTCCCATGTCTTGGCATCTCCTCTTCCATTCCCTAAGGGATACTTCAACGTAAGCATTAAAGATTAGAGCAGATAAGCTGCATCCTTGTCGCACCCTTTTGTGGTGTTAATTTGATTGGATGGCATAGTCCATGCTGTCATCCTATCTTAACATGTACCCTTATTATTTTCTTATATAGAGCCTTTTATTATCTTAAAGTAGGGGTCTATCTACTTCTAAAACATTCAAGGCTTCCCATATCTTGTGGCGAGGAATAGAGTCGTAAGCTTTCTCCAAACCAATAAACGCTAGATGGACATCTTGATCCATTGCTATCTTTTTTTCCATCACCTGCTGATAGCGACCAAAAGACGAGTATCTGTGCAATAAGATTTCCAGGTTGAATCCGTTTTGAGTCTTCGAGATCTTTGTCACCACAATATTGATCCCTGAGCTTACCCTTCGAACTTTTCCAAAAAATTGCTTCACGAACTGTTAATGCTCAGGCCTCTATAACAACCGGGGTTGTTGCGATTTCCCTTTTTAAAGATAGACACTATATGAGCCACTCTCCATTCTTGGGATAGTTTATTTTGCAGACAGCACTGGTTGAACAGCTCTGCCAGGCGCCAGCGCAATTTCTCGATCCCACACTTTAACAATTCTACTGCAATGTTACCAGAACCTAGGTGGGGACCGTCCTTTTTTCATTTTTTTGAGACTTAGATGTACTTCTCTTTCGCTGATCGTTAAAGTGCCCGCAAGGTTGTCTTCCTCTTCTGCAGATTGGAATTCTGGTCGGTTTTCTGTCAGTAATTCTGCCTAGTAGTTGCGCCATTTTTCCAATATATCAATTTTATTCAGGCTTGTCCGTTTGATTGGTTTTCATTTGTCGGATTGTTCGCCAGACCTCAGTACTCCGTGCGCCCCCTAGTAGACTTTTCACTTGCTGACATCTTCTTTCCCACATATCCGTTTTTCCTACCTTTAATAGCGGCTCGTACCTCTCTGTTTTTTTTTTTTTTTTTTTATTTTTATATACTGTTTTATATTAGGTTATTTTTCATTGCATGCTTTTGGTACTTATATATATTTATTAGGTCTTTATGTTGTCAGTTATTCAGGCTGGTTCATCCCTTTTCTTCTGCATGTTCTGTTCACCTAACACTTTAAAGGCACTTTTTTAATTTAAGATTAGAAAGTGATTATCACTAACTTATAAAACCGTTAATTAAAAAAGGCCATTTTTTATCTATATACATTAAAAATCGGCATTTTATTAGTATAGAAGTTTAGGGGATGGGACCTTAGGGTTGCGTCGGGGTTGGTCTTGGAAAATGCCATCATATTGGCCTCATTTAGCTGGGTCCAAATTGTAACTTGTGCTGAAAAAATTACTTTTTGTCATTTAATGTCCACCTAATTTCTCGTGTAAAGTTCAATTTTACCCTAAAAGTTTTATGATCGTCGTTTAGCATTTTTCATGGGCTTTCAAAAAAGGCGCCACACGGCTGGCCGGTATTGCCATTAAAGATTTTCAAGTGAGTAGGGGGTGCCGGCCCATAGGTACAAAGAATTACTAAGGTTCATGATGATCGATAGCTGCTCCAATTTCGTTCAGTCCGCGCATACCACCTGTGACGGCACTATGAAATAGATGAATCAAATAAAAAATAAAGAAAAGTTGACAGAGAGATCTGCATTTTTTGGGTTATGGTTCAGGAAAGTGTATTCACCTATACTTATGTAAGACTTTAATTTAGTTACATCTTTAATGTCAAATAACGTAAAACTGCAGACAAGTGTCCACTAAAACGATATACTTTATAAGAATATATAATTATTACCTTATTAACCATGGATTTGGTCAGAATATACAATAAAGCCTTAGGTAACGAATACTAAACTTCTATATTCTATATCTCGTGGTATGTATAGAATATGTGTTTGATTTTAGAGTTGTTTAGTTGCGTCACTTGTTGTATGGTAAATAATTTTTTCACTGTTTCACGTTGGCCTCTGAGTACATGAGGACAGACGGATGAGGTTACTTGCCTATGGAAAAGTTACCACAAGAGGAATTGTTACACATCATTTAAAATATGGTGGGAAGTTTATTGTTTCCCCTCGAAAAGTAGAAAATGCAAATGCAGATGAACGTATTATAATTAGTGGATTAGAAGTATTCCAAGGTGTACTCTCTCTCTTCTTGTATTTTTTAAATGGAACACCCTGTATATTGTACATTTTTAGTTTCTACGATTAAAATAAAGGTAAATTTGATTAAGGTTTATTATACTTAAACCTTACCGTTTTGAAATATTTTCAATTTTGTGAAATTGCAGTAAAAATTTTAAGGCTTCATTTCTCCAGAATTATCAAAGTTTTTAATACTAAATATTTACAGAAATTTATTTACAGATCAGTTATTGTGTTGCAATAATAAAAAAATAATACTACCTTATACAGAGCGTCTAAAATTTATTTTTAAATAATTATTAGCTTCAAACGGCAGCAACTTGTTTAATTTAAATGGAACACCCTATATATTTTACGAGAATAAGATGCACAATTTAATTGTCTAGATATATTATACCATTTTACCTATCTCTTTAAGTTTCCGTAGAAAATCATTTTCTTGTAATTTAGAACTTATTTATCAATATACCCATGGACTATTGACATTTAGATTATTTTAAAGATGTACCAAATTTTTAAAGAGTAAGATACTAATATTGTCGATATAATTCGTTTATTTCATTAAAAAATAAAAAAAAAAACTGTTTAAATATTTGTTAAAGAGGACCAATTAATATGATTCAGTATTCAAAACTACATTAACTGACTGTTGTTTGCGTTGATTAATAATAATTGCTCCAAATACTAAAAAACTGAATTTTGTATGGGCATTAGACAGTGTGATAAAAGTAACACATAAAAATGATATTTCATTTTAATAAATGCTGTTATTTATAACAACAGAGACTTTAATTTGATAACTTATTATTATATTGATTTCTGACTCAAATCCACATTTATTTATAATAATTTATTAACGAACATAATTAAGTATGTAATTAATTAGTATATGGGCGGAAATAATTGTGTTATATTTAATTAATGGTATACTCTTTTATAAAGATTTAAATAGTTTTCTTTATGCATACAAATGGGCTAGTAATATTATCGTTTTGCTAAAAACCATAATATTACTAGTCTGTACATTTTATACATTTGTTGCTTTAAAAACAATCTAAAGCCCAATATTCCATGGATATATTGATATATGAAGGTCTAGAATATAAATGCATTTTCTACGAAAACTTGAAGGGATAGTTAAAAAATGGTATAATATTGATAGACAGATTGGTATTGCATCTGATTCTCCTAAAATTTACAGGGCATTCCATTTAGAATTAAAAGTTATTGCCGTTTAACATAGTATTTAAAATAGAACCACAGAACATAAACTTAAAATAAAAAAAAAAAAAAAAAAAAAATCAATAAATAAACTTCATTAAATATTTAGTATTAAAAGCTATTAATGTGGCTTTAAAACACTGCAGTAAAATATTTCGAAAACCCGGCTGGGACTGAAAACATAATAAACTGTAATTTACTATTTAATCGTAGAAAACAAAATGTAATAATATACAGGGTGTTCCGAACTAAGAAGCAACGATATTTTTGTTTATTTGGGACACTCTGTATCTTAGCAAAATATTTTTAAATTGTAGCTCTAATAGTCAACGAACCCCAAACTTACAATTTGTAAAAATCTCATCGTTTAGCTACAATACTCCGTGTCGTATGTGGTGAACAAACTTATAATCAGATTATTTTCCATCTTATAATCAGATGCATAATTTACGTCATATTACCTCATAAAAAATTAAAACTAAAAAAATTCGAGGAGGTGAAATATCATTCAGAATTAAAATATAACATTATAGTTGAGGGTTTGAACAACTGGGGGTTACAACAGCAAAATAACACACTTATTCACCTCAATGCACCAGAACCCTTTATTTTTGCACTGGACGCCTGTTTTGCTCATCATCTTAGCATCATCAGCAGATGATTAAAATTGATACTCCATAATTTCATTAAAATTTCATAATGGTTTTGGTGTTTCAGTAAATTTATGACTAGTAAGTTTATGTCAACGAGTGGAGGAAACATATCGACTTCCTGTATATACCCTTATCATACAACAGTTAGGAGAACCGAATCAAGTCCTAAAAGAAGGTTTGTTCCGAATAGCAGGACTCCTTCGAGAGATAACATCCACCAAAAGTAAGTACAACGCGTACAGTATCATTTAATGTTTCTTTTTATTTCTATGTAAACGTATTTTTTTCAAACGTCAATATAAGAATGAAATTTTAACGCCAAGGCATATAAAAAATCGGTAAAAAAACTTTTAAGTTAAACGGTTTTATCTTATGTGCAGTGAAAACTAGAAAATAATAATAACAATTAGGTATTTTGAACTTCTAGTTCAGAAATATTTTAGTACTAGGCAGAATAGCTTTTAGGCATATTAGACTAAAATAAAAACGTGGGGCCCATTAACTATTGCTGTAATACTTTCTTCTATACTAAGTATGGATTGCATCGACTTACTATAATCGTAACTGGAGATTTTGACAATCCAGCCGTGACGGCTTATATATATACTTACCAGCCGTGACGGCTTCACCAGCGAACGCCGAGCTCATGATCTACCAAAGTATAAAGATATGCTTTGCCATAGGTAGGATTTCAGAGGGGCCCCACGTTTTTATTTTAGTCTAATATGCCTAAAAGCTATTCTGCCTAGTACTAAAATATTTCTGAACTAAAGTTCAAAAATACCTAATTGTTATTATTATTTTCTAGTTTTCAGTGCACATAAGGTAAAACCGTTTAACTTAAAAGTTTTTTACCGATTTTTTTATTTTCTAGTTTTTTAGTATTTAACGGAAATGCCTACCGAATATTCCTCATTCTATTTAATTCATTTATTGCATCATTATTACATGGTTTTTTACCTGATAGTTTTTTACAATCTGACGCTCAGGTGTTTCTGACGCTAACAACTCTATCTCTCTCGTTGTGATGCCAACCTAGACTCATGACGCTCAGGTGTATCTGACGCTAACAACTCTATCTCTCTCGTTGTGATGCCAGCCTATACTCACGACGCTCAGGTGTTTCTGACTCTACCAGTTGCCTTTGTCTCTCACGTTGTGCTATTAACCTGGCATCATGTTGCTCAGGTGTTTCTGTTGCTAACCGTTCTCTTCGTTTCTGTGGTCGACTATAGGTTTCATTTTCACTTTCTTTTTCACGTTTCGTTCTATACTTTTCTTTCGCCTTTTCGAGCCTTCTTTTTCGTTTTGTAGCAGTTTCGTTTTTTTTTTGTTTGTTTTTTATTTATTGTTTCCATGTTGTTCCCACGAGTAATGGACATTTTAACAGTCGACCCCCCAGAGGTCCAGTAGAGGGGGAAGGCTATAATATACAACAAGAGGCGCCCAATCTTAAGGGAAAAACGCTTGCGACATTACATTTTAGCCACCCTAATGCCTTACAGTCCTCAGCACGTTTTAACCTATTACCTTAACTTGGGTGGTAAAGCTACCGATAACTACGTAGGTACATCTAATCACCTATTTTTTTTTATCTGTCCTTCTAACGGCACACAATCTTGGACACAACTGTTCTGGACACGACTACTCATGCCCTCACCTAATACGCCATTTTGTAACGACGTCCATCTTGGATTTTAAATTTTGTCATAATCACAGTATTCTACTAGTGTAGCCCTTTCTTCTTTGGGGACGGGCTACAGAATGATGTCCTCGACGTTTCGAACCGATGCCTCTAAATGGACGATATCATCAGGATTTTTCTTAATTATGGGTCGATTGGGACAAAATAGCAACATTTTGTTTTCCCTCGTATAATTGACAGATGGGAACTTTCATACTTACTTTAGAAAGAGATACTAAAATGTCAAATAATTTAGCTACAAATTCCTTAAAAAATTATCAAAATCGGCCTACTATTCGTATTTATTTTAAAACAACCTGTGTGATTTTCCAACCGATATTTGTATGTGGTACACAATCTAACCGATTTTTATTATTTAATAATAGTAATTAAACAATGTTTTTCTTATGCCAGTTTAGCCGACGGCGGTCCTTTTGGGAGCGCATGTCAAATCCATGGCCCCGGCATGGCAATAACTCCAGCCGGTTCCGAAGACATTACGGAGTCTTCAGCATTAGATAATGGAGATAGTGGCCCTAAAAGTCCTATACTACTGCGAAATCCAGCCTTCAGTCACTCGAAATGTCCTCCGGAAATACACAAGTCGTGCTTTTGCGTGAGATTCATCGCAGAACACACCAAAATGGTGGAGGATTCAACAAAGGCTAGTATATTTATATAGGGTTGTTCACCACATACGACACGGACTATTGTAGCTAAACGATGAGATTTTTACAAATTGTAAGTTTTGGGTTCGATGAAGGACTATTAGAGGTACAATTTAAAAATAATTTTACAAGATACAGAGTGTCCCAAATAAGTAAAAAATATCAAAGTTGTATTTTTTAAATGGGAGAAATTACCCTGTATATTATTACATTTTTTAGTTTCTACGATTAAAATAAAGGTAAAATTTAAGGTTTATTATACTTAAACACTTACCGTTTTTGAAATATTTTTCAATTTTGTGAGAATTGCAGTAAAAATTTTAAGGCTTCATTTCTCAAAGGGTATCAAAGTTTTTAATACTAAATATTTACTGAAGTTTATTTACTGATCAGTTATTGTGTTGCAATAATAAAATAATACTACCTTATACAGAGTGTCTAAAATTTATTTTAAATAATTAATGCTTCAAACGGCAATAACTTGTTTAATTTTAAATGGAACACCCTGTATATTTTACGAAATCAGATGCACCATTTAATTGTCTATCAAATTATATTATACCATTTTACCTATCTCTTTAAGTTTCCAGAAAATGCATTTTTCTTGTAATTTAAGAACTTATTTATCAATATACCCATGGACTATTGACATTTTAGATTATTTTTAAAGATGTACCAAATTTTTAAAGAGTACAGATACTAATATTGTCGATATAATTCGTTTATTTCATTAAAAAATAAAAAAAAACTGTTTAAATATTTGTTAAAGAGGATCAATTAATATGATTCCAGTATTCAAACTACATTAACTGACTGTTTGCGTTGATTAGCGTTTTTAGCAAAACGATAATATTACTAGTCTGTACATTTTGTACATTTGTTGCTTTAAAAACAATCTAAAATGTCAATATTCCATAGATATATTGATAAATGAGGTCTAAATTATAAGAAAATGCATTTTCTTCGAAAACTTGAAGGGATAGGTAAAAAATGGTATAGTACAATTTGATAGACGAATTAGTGGCATCTGATTCTCTAAATACAGGGCATTCCATTAAATTAAAGAGATTGCTTAATATAAAATACTGAACACTAATATAGGTAGTATTATACAATGACCCAACAACTAACGATCAATAAATAAACATTAAATATTTAGTATTGACTTGGAAAACAAAATTCCTAAGGTAAAAAACTTGGCGGAATTTAAATAAACCTTGTCAGAACACAATCGTAGAAACAAAAATGTAATAGCCTGAAGTGTTCGACCCCGAAAAACTGGCTAATATGTATCTTGTAAAAATATTTTTTTAGATTTTTTTTTAGTTTTAAAATACCTAGCAAACCAAACAATTTGTAAAATCACTCGAACTATCCGTGTCGTGGTAAGGAAACAACCCCTCGACTAATAAATTGTATTTTCTGTCAAAGTTGCTAAAAAATTCAAAAATAAATAAGTCCAAAGTGTTCGCTTAAATAATCGCAATCGACTTTTTCTATTTTAATAGAAAATATTTTCTATGTTAAATTACAGTTGAGGGTTGGAACCTTTGGTGTTACATAGCAAAATAAAAACACTAAATCACCACAATACACCAAAAACACTTTTACTTTTACACTGGACGCGCGTTTCGCTAACCATGTTAGCATCATCAGCAGATGATTATAAACTAAAGTACAATCTACAAGTTGAGCGTTTATATACTCGCTCAGTGGGCACCGAGTGGGCGTGGCAAATTCTAGCCAACCGAGTCAGAGCCCACTGAGCGTAACAGTTAGATTTCCGCCACTAGAGTAATAGGAACGAAGAACTTGAAGGAATTGGACCGTTGTCTCTGTTCATATTATCTTTACATTTATTAATTCTGATGAATCCAATTCCTTCAAGTTCTTTGTTCCTACTACTCTAGTGGCGGAAATCTAACTGTTACGCTCAGTGGGCTCTGACTCGATTGGCTAGAATTTGCAACGCCCACTCGGTGCCCACTGAGCGAATATATAAACGCTCAACTTGTAGATTGTACTTTAGTTTATAATCATCTGCTGATGATGCTAACATGGTTAGCGAAACGCGCGTCCAGTGTAAAAGTAAAAGTGTTTTGGTGTATTGTGGTGATTTAGAGTTTTTATTTTTCTATGTTAAAAATATTTTTATTTCTTCCCAAGTAGCAAAAAGAAATTCTAAAAGGATTGAATTATTTTATAACAGTCGAATAGCGTTGTCTTAATTTTAATTTAATGTCATTCTGTTTTTTAATTTAAGTTGTCATATTAAACTATTTTCTAGTGGTTTTTACAACGTATCCTATAACGCATTAAAAGATAATTTCTTTTAGTATGATATAACACTTAATAAGACAATGCTATATGATAACAAACATATTATTTTATTAGACTCTTATACCCACCATGTAAGAGTTCTATAATATTCATATAACTAATAGTCACAAGATCATATAATAGTTACTTAAACTTGTCTTATTAAAGTTGTATTACGTTGTATGATAGAATGTTTTATTGCGTTAACTACGGGTATATAGCCTTATATGATAAAATTGTGATTAACAAAATAAATTCGCTGTAATATCTGCATTATGAAACTAGTAATGTATAATATAATCTCATTTTAAATTAAATGGTATACCTAGTTATTTATTTTGTTATCGTTGTTGTTGCAAAAGTAATACGTACGAGTATAATCAATCACAGCTATTATGAATTCTGGACAAAGTTGGAAAAAAGTTAACAAACGCAGTGGTAGTTATGAAGAGCATGTAAGAAAAAACTCCTCGAAATTACGGCAAATAATCCCGAGAATTCCCTGGGTTCCTAAAAGCCAAAATCTCTCGGGTTGTCTGGCTTCTTCAAAGCATTGTTGCCGCGTTGATGTAAAAGTTTTACTGTAGTAATGTTTGTAATGTTTGTATTTTTCCAAGTCCTTAGGTTGCCACTCACTCGTCGGGCACGCATGAAATGCATTGCGTGCATGAATCCATGAAAATCTGATCATGTTTGTTAGTTTAAATACTAATCAAATGAGATTTGGCAACATCTATTTGTCACAAATCTCAATATGTCCAAAATAGTTCTATAGTGCCTGGAAATTCTGCGTAATGATAGATATTTATCCTATACCGTTTTATTTTACAACAAAGACTTATTTAAGGGATTCATTTATAATAAAATGTTTGCATTATAATTCGCCATGTTTAAGGCAGAATTTTTGTATGGCCTATGGCCGCCATTATATGAAACAAAATTAAAAACATCAAAATAAATTGTAAAATGTTATTTTTGAGAACTATTTTGTGATAAGATTCCCACGTACAGTAAAGTGTTTAATTAAATTAAAAACAAGAATTTTTGAAAATTTTATTTTATTTTATTGTTTAAATTTATACGGAAACCTTAATCGAAATTAAAGCGCTTTAATTTTTTGCCAAATACATACCTATAATCTACCAGTCAAATTTTCGGCTTAACAAAAATTGTCCCTACTTTTCAAACCCTATTAATGATTTTTTATATTACATATTTATTGTACCTTCTGGCTCTACCCGCCATTTTCATTGTCGAGTACCAGTCTCCTTTTAACAATCCACATCCTCTAGATTCATTTTACGACACGCTTAAAATATAATTTGCTCCTAATATTCTTCGGTAAAAAATAAAATACTCTTTTGCCTCGCTAAATGATCAAATGTTTTTATTGTTCTGTTTCTTAGATGTGACCACGTAATACACAATAAAACAAGTCAAGTTTTATAATAGTTATATAACGCTGTGTAAAATAGTTGCATAAGAGTTGTATACCCTTTTTATAGAACTTCTATACTACTAAACGGTTGTATAAAAATGGGCCTTTTTTGGTTGTAAAGTTATAATATTACGGTCTTATAGCACGTTATATGAATTGAGGTATCCTATAAAAATTATCACATAGCTGTTTATACAGTCTTTATAAAATAAAATTGCTACTTGGGTTCATCATCATCATTTTCACCTTATTCAGCCATTTCCAATTATGGTGTAGCCACCCTCGCGTATTTAGATAACCTCTTTGTAGACGGGTCCATTCTTGTCTATTTTTGATATTATTAAAAAGATATATCGTGATGACAGTTCCACTTGAGACTAACATGACGATTAATTTTAGGTAAAAGAAGATTGGAAATATGTTGCCATGGTATTGGATAGGTTATTCTTATGGATATTTACATTAGCAGTCCTAGTAGGTAAGAACAACTAAATCCTCGTAAATAATAGACAGTTTTACGCAGATATAATACGTGAATTGTCTTTTTATATAGGAACTGCAGGAATAATCTTACAAGCACCATCTTTATATGATGATCGAGCACCTATAGACAAGAAATTTAATGAATTTGCCACAACTGTTGTCAGATGTCCCCCTCCATAGAGTGCCATTGTTATTTAAAGTTTTTATTTGAGTCACATTCATAAACATTTTATTACTCAAAAACTTATAGAATCTATTGAATGGTGTTAGAATAATTCTAAAGCGTTTACCTGTTTAGAATTAATGTGTAAAATATAATGGTTAAGAGTTTCAAAGTGTCTAGAATGATTGTATTTTAAGCGATTAGTTACTATGTTTATAGGAATAATGTATCAACGAAATATTTAGTTCAACGAAAAATATTTATATATCTTTGATATCAAGAGGTAAGAGTAAAGAAATTAAATGTAATATTAGAAACGCTCATATTATATTATTGTTTGTAGTTATCGATTGTTGATTAATGTTTAGACTAAAAAATTGTGCCAAAGAATTCGACTGTTGCACAACGTTAATACAATAAGCCCTACGTGTTGATCTTCGTGTAAACATTGTACGAAATATCACGACTAGTAATTATTCGAATTACTATGATTAAAATGTTACTTACATTACCAATTACTTTCCCTCAAAACTGCCTCTTTTTGAAGTGAAACTTCTTTACGCGCGATGGAAGGGAAAATTTAAGGCCGTGACACCACACGGCCTTGATACATGACCTAGCGAGAAGGAAAAGTGGTAAGTCAGTGAGGAAGTTAAGATGGGTCTTTGGAGCGTCGCAACTCAGGGCCTATGTGAGCTAGGAGTCGATAAATGAAATTTAGTACGTCGATAGATGATTGATCGCGATGGTTTCAACTTCTTTGGGGGGTTAATCTGGTTTTTACAAGTTTTTTTATAAGTTATTTTATAAGTGATAAATTTAGCAACGTCAGTTTGGCGGCAAGGACGTTCTCGATAGAATGGACCAAAGCCAATATGAGCGTGTACGACACGTATCACTGTAACAGTTAGTTTTGACATAGAATTTTTTAGAATTTAGAATGAGTGGGAGGGGGGTTAATCACTTCGACCTTACAGATCCATTGTGTCCCCCTTTCTTGAATCATAACTCATCATACAGTCCCAGGGCTTTGACAAAAGCCAGTATCTGGGACGGTTTTATAGAGGGTAGTTCTCCATCTCCAATATCAGTCGTACCAAAATTCATGGCACGAATGGTTGTCGTCTCGACGCACTCAGTGATGAGGTGTACTGGTGTTTCACCATCTTCCCCACAGAATCTGCATTCGCCGTTTCTTCTTAGTTTCAATCTACTGAGGTGTTCATTGAGGAGACAGTGTCCTGTTAAAAACCCCGTGACAATCCGAAGATTGTTCTTACTCAGACCCAGGAAGATCTGTGATTTTTCTTGATCATAAGCCCTCAGAAACTTCTTCGAGTGTCTTAGACCATTGCAAGATTTCCATTCCAGGTTGCGGATGGAATCTTCCAAGTTCTTGAGTTCCGCCTTGAGTTGGTTACCACTTGGAAAGCAGAACGGTTCTGGTCCAGTTAGCGGAGTGTTCGCTCCTTCCTAGCTAGATTATTTGCTTTTTTCATTGCCTTCTATCCCTTGGTGAGCAGGCACCCAGTGTAGAAGGACTTTGTTTTCTTTGCCTAATTTATTCAGCTTCTCTATGCATTCTTTGACCAATTTCGAATTGATTGATACTGAGTTGATCGCCTTTAACGCTGCTTGACTATCAGATAAGATGGCTATTTCTTGTTTCCGATAGTTCCTATCTAAGATAAGTTGTACGCATCTCTCGATAGCGTAGATTTCTGCCTGTAGGATACTAGTTTTGACATAAAAAACGTCAAAATTTAATGTCGTCCGATCGCGACCAAATTTGGTGGGTAGGCTATGTGAGCGACGGTGCACACGGTCCCACCCTGCAAAGTTGGATGCGACGTTTCGTTTACATCTCTATCAGGGTGGGCCTAAGGATTTGATATTGAAGAAGTATGTTGGTCGATTTCGGTTTACAACCAATAACTGTAAATGAACGAAATCATCAGGATGTTGTAAATGAACGAAACCAAACTCGGCACGTGGGTAGAGGTCCCAAATGGGCTCCTCTACAGACGGACCGACTGACGGAATTAAAAACAAGTTTCACTTCAAATATGGGCACATTCAAGTTTATATCAAGAATTGAAAATTAAATAAATCGAAAGAAAAATCGTCAATTTTGAGTGTAACAGGCTATTTTATTATTCAATTCTCGCAAATTGTACAGGATATTATAGAAAGTAAAGACTTCTGAAAATTACGTTCATTTTATTATACACAAATATTATAGTTTTTAAAAGAAATTTCATATCATCAAAGGTTCATGTACACTCACCGGCGGCGGCGCGAAAAAAGGGCATCTTAAAATTTTGATGTATTTTAAAGTTTTATATACGAGCCCTAACAACTATATGTTGGGACAAGGTCTTTTTTGCAATAAAAATAGTAATTTGTTAAAACGACTCAATTTATTTTGTTTATTATTCTAAATTCAAACATTACAATATGATCTAGACAATTTTACTATATTTTTATAACTTTGCAAACAAATCACTTTTGATAATAGCTTTTTTGCCAAAATCAAGCCAAATTTGCTGACAACTATATATTGGGACAGCACAACAAGAAATTTGTTTAATACGGAGTTACATCACCTTTCGCCTTAACAACTGCCTGAACTCTTAATGGCATTGTATTTACCAAAGATTGGCACATTTGAGGAGAAAAATTATCCCAAATTTCCTGCAGTTTTGTCCGCAAATCAAAAATTGTTCGTTGAGGGTGGTTTCTTAAATATTGCTTCATTTTATGCCATACAGTTTCTATAACATTGAGGTCCGGACTACTTGCAGGATGGGATAGAACATTTATATTATTATTACTGAACCAATTTTTAGTTGATTTTGCTGAATGGCACGATGCTCCATCTTGTTGGAAAATATAGTCTTCGTTGAAAACAATTCTTGAGCACTAGACAAAAGTGAGGTCTCAAGTATATGTTGATATTTTTGGGTGTTAACAGTGCCATCTATAAAATTTAATTTGCCCAAACCTCTTGCTGACATGCAACCCCAAACCATAATCCCCTTAGGAAATTTAACAACCCTCTTTAAGTAATCTTTATGAAAGGCTTCTGCTTTATTTCGTATTATTCGTTTTCGATGATCTCCAACGCAAACATCAAATTTAGACTCATCGCTAAATATGACCTTATTGCAATCATTTTGTATCCACGATAATTCAGATTTTGCCCAATTGTAGCGATTTTTCTTTTGAATTTCTTTCAGTAGCGGTTTTTCTTTGGCCTAAATAAGAATTTGTATCAATAATCTTCAGGTAATTGATTATCCACACAAAATAATGTTTACCTTGTAAAATCCCAGACCGCATTTATGGATATATTTTCGGCAACATTCTCTTGATATATTTAAACCAGTTACAGTATTCCATTTAACTGTTACTTCGCGAAGAGTACTTCTTCTCGCAGACTTGCAAATTTTTACTAAATTTCGTAAATCTCTCTGAGATACAACTTTTGGCCTTCCCGAACTTTTACCTCTAACGTCTGTATTGGCAGATTCGCCGTATTTTTTTTATTATATTAAAGACCGTGGTTTTTGAAATACTTAAACCATCAGAAATTTTTCGAATTGTTTTTCCCGTACTGTATTGACGAATGATAATTTCGCGTAGTTTTTGATTTGTAGCTTTTCCATGGACCATTACTTTGAATTAAATAATTAACAAAATTAAAAATTAAAAAAATTAAAATGACTTACGGTAAATCTCACTACTCAAAGTATCGAGTCAGTTACAAACTGTCAATGCTGAAGGAAACAGTTTGCGACATTTGTGACGTTTATACCAAAGCCGCCTATGATGATATTAATTATTTAAAAATACTTGTCCCAACATTTAGTTGTCAGCAAATTTGTCCTTTTATAAACAAAATCCGCTACTGTAAATATAGATTGATTTACAAATTCATAAAAATATTGTCAAGCTGTTTAGGATATATGGCTATGTTTATATTTAAAAAATTAAACGAATATTTTTCAGTCATTTTGAAAAATCAGGGCAATAATTCCAAAATATGACCTTGTCCCAACATATGGTTGTTAGGGCTCGTATTGTGATCTAGTGGACCGATTTTGATGATCTTTTTTAAGCGGTTTGTAAAATAGTTGAATTTTTAGTATCTCTGTCTAAATTAAAAATGAAAGTTTCCATCGGTAAATTATACGAGGAAAAATAATTTTTTTTTATTTTTGGTCAAAGTTTGGAACACCCTATGAAATATATTAAAAAGCTTTGAAAATTTGGAACTTGAAAATATTTACATTATCTAAGTGCATGTTTTCTCGATAGTTTATTTTTTGGTTCATCTCATTCTAGCTTTATTTTTTATAACGTTTCAAACTTTTACCAAAATATTATTTTGTTTTCTCTCGTATTATAAAATTATACGAGAGAAATATATCATTTGTCAATTATTGGCAAATGAGAACTTTCATTTTTAATTTAGAAAGAGACACTAAAAAGTGAAATAATTTAGCTACCTACTGTTTTAACATTATTAGAATCGTCCCACTAGAACAAATTATATTTTAAAGTTTAAAATAAATACCTATATCAAAATTTTGAGGTGTCTCTTTTTTGTGACGGTAAGTGTATTATTAGTCATATTAAACTATACTATAACTTCAAATTTATAAGTTTTTATTGTTAATGTGAAACGTAGACTTAAAATGTTAATTTTTATACATTATTCTGTTGATGATATTTTAAGTAATAATAACATTATAGTCTGCATGGATCAAAAATTTACAGGTGATTTCTGTAACAAAATATACTTGATTTTTTTTAATCTAAAATTTTTCCGTTCACAGCTCTCTACCCTTTACTATCAGAGCAAAGAAAGTACAAATTTACACAAAAAAGCTGGTATTGTAAATTCACTACCTATCTACAATATTATTTTAATATTCTTAAAATATTTTAATCCCCCATTCCGTCTTTAATTTCAATTTGAATGCAGACAATAAATTTACTGACACTTTATGATCCATCTGTATTATAATCACCTTTAGATTTTTTAAATGTCAATTAGTATTTAGTTTTCCTTTTTTTTATATGTATTTAGTATGTATTTAACTTTATAAAATATCGTAATATACGTAACTATTTCTTTTGTATTTATTGTACGATATCTTGG